ATTGAGGATCATTCGAACCTAGATGTCCAAGGTAAGGCTAATGTCTGAACCATCTTCTTTTAGACGCACAAATCAGGCTTCTTAATATGGTTCCCAACAGTCAGCCTCAGCAATATTTAGTAATAGAACTTTTGAGGCGAAGTTAAGGTTTGTTCGTATGCGATAAGTGACTTTGAAAGCCTGGCTAACATCAGTCTTGTATTCTGTATCCATGAGATGAGGTTGAATAGAGCTACGAATAGATTTTGTTTGTCCTTTACTTAACCACTATACAGAGTGATGTTCAAAAATCTGGCGAGAAACACGCCTAATTATACAACCTGTGTAACTGGCTCACCCCACAGGGGCAGTTAGAGGAAAACAAAGGGGAAATATCCTTCTCAGGAACTTCAGCTAGCGGTGTTGTTTAAAAAGGCAATAAAAGCTGAGCAATTAAACATGTTCACCTCGGCGAACAGAAGAATATTAAAAAGGTTGGTGAATTCATAGACCACTGAATTGAGTCCCAGTGGCTGAATGGTGTAGGAGCTTGCCTTGTAGCTCGAAGGTCCTGGGTATGAACCCCAGGTGTGTGAGAACTGCAGATGAATCCCAAACTAGGACTCTGGAGACACCTGGCTGTCCAGTACTGTGTGCTGGTTAGATTAGGAAAGCAAAACAAATCCTTACAAATCAACTCTGGAAAAATAGCTTAAAAATCCCCACTGAGTCATATGAAAAAGAGAAGGTGTTCAGCAAAGAGACTCTTATTGACGGCGAATTCATTCACATAGCTGTACAATCGCATTTGTATATAATTATTTGTGTCTGTGTGTACATGAGGTTTGTCAAGTTTAGATAATTGATCAGGCGATACAAGAATGATCTAATATAGAAACAAGGTGAATTAGACAGCAACTAAAGTAAGATTGAGGCAGTTAGTAAGTTAGATGATGTGATATGATTGACTAAAATGTTTCAACTTAGGTCAGGATAGTAACACAGGTAATTACAGGTAGAGACTAAGTAGAGGTGGGGGAGAGAATAATGTCATTTAAATTAGAACTGAAATTGAGCAAATAAGTTGGATGACGTAACATAAATGACTAGAAATTGAGCGTTGGTCAAGTCAATAACAGTGTTAGTGAGGTGCACAAATTAAATTGGGCGGGGGTAGAGAAGAAGGCTTAAAATGTAAAGTATTACAATTGAGAAGACGAAATATTACTAATGAAGAGACAGAAGAATACAAAGATTAAGTAGAATTTATCTGTCAGGTAATAAGATAGATTATGTCCATTGCAAGTGTAGTGACTAAACGAACTTCTTCTGTATACAGAGTTTAGGACTTAGCAGGTGAATTGTCATTGCTTCTGCAGTCTGAAGAAGTATGATTCGTAAACCTTTAGGAAGACTACTTCGTATTCTGTAGACGAATTTGAAGTTTGTCTGGGGTGTAGCTTGGTGTCCGGAATCTATCAGATGTTCTAAGATGGAGCTGCAAGGGCATCGTCTCTCTCCTTTGTAAAACCATGTTGGTAAGTGTTCGGTGATACGTTTGGAAAGCGAATGCCGGGTATGGCCGACATACCTGGATTCATACGAGCAGGTGAATTGGTAAATGCGCATTGACGAGGCCAGCAGTGGTAGCTTATCCTTCACATTCATAGGAATCTTGGGTTTTGTGGAGAAAGTTAATTGTAGTTCAGCTGCGAGGAAGGTCTTCTTAAGTGAGCGCGATAGTAGATTTTTCAGTATTTCCGCAGACATATCTACACTGAATTGAAGGTTCATGTGGAGTAGTCTTTTCAAGACGCTAAGTATGGGTGGCTTTTGTGGTCTAGGATTCATAGGTTTTGCAATAAATCGTTCTGGACAACAGTTCTCGACGAGGATTCTCTTGAGATTGTCCAGTTCATCCTCTATGGTGTCCGGGGTGCAAATGAAATAAAAATAAAAGAATACTCGGAATTAATGAAATTTTGCCGCATTCGGTAATGTTTTTGTGATATATCGTTGTCTTGAGTTCCGAGTGGAACAAAGGGCTCCAACAGCACATCTCCAATTTGTCCTATTCTTTGCCATCCTCACCTCCTCCTCACACGATATCCTCCATGTCAACCTCCAGCCAACGCCTACATCATCATGTCCCGTTCGGGTTTTAGTCGAGGGACTATCTGGTACCCGAAGTCATTTGACACTGTCCTTAGTGTGTACCTAGTCCATCTCCATTTCTTCCTGCATATTTTTTTAACGAGACGTTCTTGATTGGGTTGTCCCATTGCAGAGCTCCTTATTTCTAATCCTTTCTGGTCGTATATGATATGTGCTGTATATAATTTAGTACAGATCGTGAAAAGAATAGGGATTTCGATTCATTTCGGGGTAAATTTCATCACAAAGCGATACCAGTTTGAAAAATCATTTAAGGTGAAGGAATACTGGAAAACTGTTTCCGCCTGGTTTAGAACTCTTCAGAGGCACACATCCCCTCATATTGTGGGGATATCTCGTTCATTATTTAGCCATTGGCTTGGTTAGCGATGAAGGCTGCACTGACGATAAAGGCATTTGAGGTTTACAACTCAGGGGAGAAACTAACAAGCTACATGATTGAGTTTCCTAAAGTTCTAGTGAGAAGTCGTGACCAAAGGGGTCCATCTATTCAGAAGTGATGACCGAGCTACGAGCGATAACATTTGTTGGTGGTCGTGATGAAATCATGAGCTGGTAGAAGTTAGAATTCATGGGCTGGCCATTGAGTCAAGTCATAGTGGCTGAATGGTCTACGAGCTTACCTTGTAACCGGAAGGTCCTGGGTTCGAACGGAAACAGTTGGTTGTCTAGTACTCCCTGCTGGTTTCACCAGTTCCCTAACCGATATCAATCCTCTGTCTAACTCGACAAACAAATGTCCACTGTATTTTCCAACTCATAAGTCTTGTTCTCCTTACTGTGACAGTCCTGATAACTAAGTTTTAGAACAAGACATATAAGCGAACAATATCGTTTTCAATTAGATCTTCTTCAGGCTTTACTCTAATTCACATAGATTTATATATAAAAATTTTTTACTAATGACGGTAATTTTGTGGATCAAATAATAGTAATAATAATAATGTGGTAAATGTTTTGAAAGTCCTTAATAACGATGAATATAATGATAACAAAATATTGATAATAAGGTTTATGCAGGTGGTGATAAGAAGAATAACGATGGTAGTAATATGTGTATATGTAGACAATTCAATATATAAATTAGGTCAAATCTCAAAAGTTACGTAACACTAGAGGTGAAGCGGACAGATAATCAGAGTTTAAATAAATATCATAAAATTGGTGGATGGTGGCTAGCAGTGGAATCCAGGATGCGCATTTCGTCCTATTTGGGACTCGTCAGCTGGACCTACCTGCATTTCTCAGTGAGTGATGATGTTCCCACTGAGGCTCGAACCCAGTACCCATAGTTTCAAACGCCAAAGCGTTATCCACTAGACCACTTGGGCCACGAGAGCCACCTCTTGTGCAATTCAATAATTAAAATGACCCGTTGCAAAAGAGGTGGCTCTCGTGGCCCAAGTGGTCTAGTGGATAACGCTTTGGCGTTTGAAACTATGGGTACTGGGTTCAAGTCTCGGTGGGAACATCATCACTCACTGAGAAATGCAGGTGGATCCAGTTGACGAGTCCCAAATAGGACGAAATGCGCATCCTGGATTCCACTGCTAGCCACCATCCACCAATTGTATACTAATTAAATACCCAGACATCGTCGAAGCATCTGCACAAGAAGCCGACATGTCAACCTGAGACCGAGCACTTCGGTCAAATCAATCGACGGGAAAATCAAAAATTCAATTCAAATATCATAAAAGTACGAAGGAAATGGAAAATAAGAAAGGGTGGGAGGGTTTTGATTAGAATTCACCTAACCCAAGGGATAGACAAAGGTAGAACAAACTTGTTTTGTTTAATGCAAATACTAGGATTGTTCCCTCGTATTCCCATAGCTTTGGCTATGTGTAAAAGGCGGGTTTGAATTTCGTTCTAAAGGCTTGATGGAATGCGATAGATAACTTTGAAGGCACTATTTTTGTCCAGTAGGTGACCGGTATCTATCAAATGAGCCAAAATAGAACTTCGTATGGATTTTATTTGACCCTTTCCAAACCATGAAGGAAGATGCTCACTGATGTGTTTGTTAAGCTGTCTAGTTGTTCGCCCTATATAATTCTCTCCACAGGAACAACTAAATTTATAGATACACATAGAATTGGCACAGCTAGTTAGCTTGTCTTTCGCTTAAGCAATCATAATTGGTAGGCTGGTAAATGACAAAAAAAGGGTGGCGGCAGTATAAGTCCTTTTTATCGCTCTCGATAATCTAAGATGAACAAGTTCGCTAGTCACGTCCCCATTAAATTGCAATTTCATGACCAGTTGCCAGTTTCTCTTGTGTCTCCTTGCAAATCTACTAGGACAACCCATTTGGACTAACGTATTTTGAATGTATCCTAATTCATTTTCTAGGGAGTCATCTGTTTAGATACGTCTTGCTCTATTTGTAAGGCGGCATCTGACCAAATTGATTTTGTATCGGATTGGTACAAAACTGAGGAAATGTGTATATTGTCCTACGCGTGTAGGTTTTCTATAGACATCTCCCTTGAGTGAACCATCCTCTCTTTTGATCAACTGGACGTCAAGGAAATGTAGTCCACCATCATATTCTTCTTCACAGGTAAAGATGAGCGATGGATGTGCATCAATAAATTTTATTAACGTTTCATTCTTGTCAGCTTTCACACCAAGAATAATAAACGTAGCATCGACATAGCGAAAATAAGAATTAGTTTTATGTAATAAGTTTAAATTCACTTGTGTTTTCTTCTAAAATCTAATCAATACTTTATAATACTTTTAATGTTTGTTTATTATTTTCATTAAAAGCAAGTTTCGATGCAAAAGAATTAACCTGGTTTGTCTATCTACTCATTTGTCCGGGTTTAATGAATCTTTACATGTTTATAAGTTGTATTTTAGTCTTCATTAATGAAGTGAATTGTACTCACAGCAGAAGTTGGTGCTTACGACAGCATAAAACTAAACAAAATGAACATGTGAATCAAGAAAAACAGTCAAAACACTATGAAGTCGACAGACGATTTCCTTTCCGCGCGAAAAATACTCATCAAATTCAATCAAAGAAGTATTTTCTAAAAAGTATACAATTAACTGTTATGAGTTTATCTTTTAATAATTCTTTTATTGATATTATACTTTTTCCAACTTCTATTATGATGCAAATATTCCCTAAATATGATTTAGCAATCTATTCTTTTATTAAATATATATTTAACTGGACAATGGCAAATAATTTTACATTTAGCGCCACATTAAGCATGCAATTATACCTTATAAGTGATTCATTAAAACAAAGTCAAGGTGTTCAATGTCTTAGAAAGTATTGTTTAATCAATACTAGCGGTAATAATTCATCATTTAAATTATCTTATGCACAAATATTTTTAATTTGGTTTACTAATGCTGGTTTATATGCAATTCTTCCATTATATCTTGATTTGATTAAATTATCCAGGCCTAGTATAAATACTCAAAGTCAAAATTTATCCCTATTGGCTAAATTCTCATGTATTGTGAATTCTTGCTTAGTGAAATATTTGCATATTTTTTACACACTACTGTCTTTTTCTCAATTAGTAGTATCATTGATTTTCTTACATAGAGTACATGCATTAATTATTTGTGTAAAAAATTTAATTCATTCAACATCTAATGAAATTCCAGTGGATTCAATGATTAAAAATATTGAAATTAAATCAAATTCATCTTTTATTACATCAATACAATCAAAAATTTCAAACAGATCATCAACTTTAAAATTTAATGCTTTATTGGAATATACTCGAGGTATTTGGATTATACGTTTATATGGGATATCTGTTTTGCTCACTGGACTATTGTGCACACTTCAAAATCTGCTGAAAAGTTTTGATTTCAACGTAAGTACTTATGAGAATATGTTCTGTACAGTTCATAAAGAATTTGCTTGGTTGAGTGACAGAGCTGGTGATGCTCAACTAAAACTACTGGTTTCACGATTGCATCATGTGCTGACATCAATTAGAGAACCATTGGAAAACCACTGGGTTGTACTGGACAGCTGTTTCGTCCTAGTTTGGGACTCTTCATCAGCGAGCCCCCTCACCACAGGGTTCAAATCCAGGACGTTTTGGTTACAAGGTCAGTTAACTTGTAGTTTATTAAGTCACTGGAACCAGATCCAATGGCTAGCACATGATTTCCAACTTCTGCCAAATCACAATATTAAGCGACCACTAGTGAATGTCATCTCTGACGAGTATTTGTCCTCACTCTGGAGAGGGTGGACCTCACTGGTCACTAATTTTCACTAGAACCCAGATATCTACTTAATATAATAGTAAAAGATATTGGCGATGACAAGGATGTTTACTATCTCAGTCGAAAAATGAGAACCCAAGCATTTTTCGTTGCTAGTGCTGTATCGAAACGTCAGCAATTTTTGAAATCAACAAGTACCGCTTAACGGATGGGAATATAACTCCAAAGAACTCTGATGATATTATTCAGTTGATGATGGCTAGCATAGGGGATCTACGATACGCATTTTATCCTAATTGGGTGTCAGCATGCAGTAATCCACTAAATAGTCATGGTGTTTGTATAAAGTTTTATAACTTCTTAATGCTACATTACAAAACTCGGTTGAATACTTATCAGTTTAGGAAGTAAACATGCGTAACAGTCGTCTGTAATGTGTAAATAATATGTGTTGGTTGGTCGCCATTTGACTTGCCTTTCAGGTTATTGGAAAGTAGTGCCTATTATGCTGAATAGTGGTTTTCAAGTGTCATTTTCACTCGAAGTGAAACTCTCTCTCTAACCTTACTCCATGATTGCTCACGAGTCTTCATTTCCTCTTTACACGATATGGGCTCATGACCGGTTCACTGAACTGCCAGACCTTCTCACAGTTTATCCTTTCCAAAAAGCCGATTTTCAGTATACGGCGAATGCAAGTGTTGATGAAAGTCTGTACAAGACTGTAGCAAAATACTTTTAGTGACGGATAGGATCTCTGTGAATCATATAGAACTGTGATGACAGAAAACAAGGGTCAGGTAACAGATCATTTATTAAGAAAATCAACAGATATTTATAGATTTCTATTTACATTATTATTAGTTATTCTTTGCAGAGAAGCAACGCCCTCTGATTGGTTGTTTTCCTGCTGAAGGTCATTCTGTCATCTTTTGGTTGCCATTTCTATGACACTCCGTTGATATATATATATATATCTGCTAATCGTATCCGCCCACGCTAAGTCTGTTGTGATTGGTTGCTGAGTTCCTCAAGGTTAGGCTTTGATCTTGTTTTTTCTTATGACTAAGATTTGGGACGTAAACATTAACGAGAATTGATGTCTACCGATTTCGGCTAGCAAACAGCTCTCACCACAGAAGCACTGACTGAGATATTAGTGAATTCAAACCTGTATTTTAGTGGTTACAGGGATGCAGAACTTCTCCTAGTTTATTAGTGTGTCTTAAGCCCGAAACAAAAAGGAGGCTCAGGCCTAGAAAAAAGATCACTATCACTGCAGAAACTTTGAAGAACATCAATGCATTTCACAAAAATTTTAGTTTCAGTGTAAGTTATATTTCACCACTACAGTATGTGGCGTTTCTACTTTTGTGTTTCGAGTTTATAACAGTCATAAACCTGAACCGTCACGCTTTGATCCAGAATTAAGTTTTAATACACAACTCCTCAATACTGCAAGTTGTTATAATAATAATAATCAAAATCGTTTATGTAACAGGGGACGAGGGAAATATGAACTGACAAGTCATTGAATGACAACCCGGTATCTGGATCGTCAATGAGCTATCTTCATCAATTGAAGGTCGCATGTATGATTTCTGAAAAGTCTGAAACCAAGAGGTAATAGTTGTTCGTTCCGCACCCCCCTCTTGGTTCTCAATGCTTCTCTAACTGATATCAGATTGAATAAAAATCCCCCTAAAAATGGTCACGTGCAAAATAACTAGTCTAGCGTTATAGCAGCTCCGCTATGGACAGTGCTAATTCAAATCCTATCAATAATGATAATAGCTTTATTCCAAACAGTACTTTTGGTATAAATATATGGAATTTTCGGCATGTGGTACAGTACTGCATCTAATCTTCTCATTACATGGGTAATAATTGAAACTGGGCCGTTTATATTGATAATATTGTTCCAAAATAGAACCGTCTCTCTCAGAGTTCCTCAGTAAGCTGCATATTTCCTGTCACATAAGTTTCTGATCACATAAATCGTGTGCCTGCTAAATAAGGTATTATAGAGTTTTTGTACTTAGTCGTCCGAGCATACAGTCTTATATAGTTACTTCTAGTTCCTCTACCTGATGAGATGCAAGCGGGAGAGTTGTGTAAGGAGAGAGGATGCTAAGAGGTTAGCGAGATACTATTTGCTAATTTCTAGCGTGAGTCTAAGTGTTTATCTACAACAGTATTAACAAATTGGTTTAACAACACCCGACTCAGCCTACTGACGGCTTTTAGTGCCCCATGCAGTATAACAAAGTCTCTTTTAAGTAACTCGGAAAAGACTAAGTTGTGGGGGAGTAGTAAAGAAGTGTAGGGAGAATACAAGAATTAACAAACGGTAACAATAGAGACAGAATGAAATTAGATCGTCTTAACTTTTTGACGTAAAACGTAAAACGAAACATCTTTCTGTAAACTAACATGATGTGGGAAGAACAGGAAAGGTGATGAGAAGAAATACACAGTCCAAGGAACTTTCCATTCGATTTAGTCTCAACTCCAGTAGTATCTACGATAGTGGAACCGTGCGAACTAACCAGTTAACGTAAGTCGCGCATGCATCTGAAAGTTAATTTTTTTTATATTTTTGATTACAGCTTGATACCACACTGTATTTTTGGTACAAGTATGGAATTTTCAGCATGGATATCGGTAGCCCAAATTTTGCAGGCCGACCATAGATATCAGGTGGGCGTCGGCAAGGGATCGAACCTCGGACCATGTGCATGGTCAGCGAGAGTCCTAATCACTGTGCCACTTGACATTTGCATGGAGGGATCAAGCTCAAGACTATTCGATGAGGACCACTGACTAATTTCAGATAAAAAGTTATTCATTTTAGAACAGTCTGATGGAGAAGTAAGTAACCGTTGGCATAGAAACAGTCAGACCATTGGAGCACTTAACATAATTGGCTTCATGAGAATGAGAAGCAAGTCATATTAGAAGGTAGAAAAGAGAAAAGGAGAAAGAAATGCTCATTGAGTTAGGAACACCAGCCAGAGTAAGTGAAGCATTGGAGAACTTCCTGCTGTAAACAGTTTACTGTCCAGCATTGTGCTTTCATCACAGCGTTTTTTATTCATTTACGTTCTCAGTGGAATATGAGGCTGTTTCGAGCTAGAGGTTTGAAGTTTCTGTAGCAGTGGTGATTATTTTTTAACAGGATGGGGTTGCTAGTCAGCCTCATGGCCAAACTTCCCTCCTAACCAGTCTTATTACTGGCTTAGCAAGGTAAAGAAGAAGTGTGTCTGTGGTCAGGAATCGAACCCCGAACCACAGAAATTCGGCTTTCAGTATTCATAAATCACACTCATCATAATATGCGAGCAAACATCACACAAACATCAGAAGTATTTTTATCAGAATTACAAATGCATTTCTTTTCTTTGTATATTATATATTTTTTTATCTTTTCAGATTGATTTCAATGTTACTTCATTGACTAGCAATCTTCTACTATTGAAAACTTTATCAGATCCAATACTATTGACTTATGGATTCAAAAGTTTACGTGTCACCATGTTTGACATCTGCAGTCTTTGTCACTATTGTGACATAGCATCAGAAAAATACTTGTCGTCAACATTTGCGGCTTAGAATGTAAGTCCTCCTTAAACAAACATTTTTATTACCTTTTACTGGAGAAGTGTATATTTCAAAGTGTCTAGTCTTTGTAAACTTTACACAAACTGAATTATATATTATTATTGTTCCCTTGGGTTCCTAGTGGAACATAGGGCTTCAACTGTACGTCTCCACTTGTCACTTATGTCTTCTGCTGTACTTTTCAACTGCATCCATGTTAGTCCATACTGTTTCAACTCCTCTTCACACCATCTCCTCTATGTCACACTTGAATCGACGTCCCACTCGCCGCTTCCCTTTCGGATTGCACTACAGCAATGGCCTGACGCGCGCTATGTCACCCAGCGGCCTCCTCAGCGAGTGTCCAATCCATCTCCACCTTCTCCTGCATATTTGTTGGTTGGCGATTGGTTCTTGTTTTGTTTGTTCTTTCCCATAGTTTCTTTTTGGTGATTCTTTCCGGCCAGGCTATCTTATTGATCTTCAGTATAGAGCGAAGACTGTTGTTGTTGATAAAAGTCTGCAACAGGCTGTTGGAAATATTCTTTGTGACCCGCCAAGTTTCTGATCCGTGTAGAAGAACTAACTGACTTGACGTTGTTTGTACTGAAAATCCGACTGAATATTGTTGTTAATAGTGAGTGACGAAGATTTCCAGATTGGTTTCAAGTTGACGAATGTGTTTCTCCCCTTCCTGATTCTCGCTCGATTTGACATCCTCGTCCGTTCCGACTCCCTGTAGTTGATACAATGCTCAATGCTAGATAAGTGAATGAAGTAACCTCTTTCAAATCCCTCCCGTTGATGGTGATTGGCGCTGGATGTAGCTGCTGTTGTTGGTGGTGGTGGTTGGTTGGTTATTTTCATAACCTCCGTCTTGTCTATCTTCACCTGGAGCCCTATCTTTGCTGCTTCTTTGACCAGTTTGTCGGTTTTCGCTTGTAAGTCTTCGATTTTGTGTGGCATCAAACATAAATCATCTACGCGCGAAATCCAGGTCTTCTAGGTTCTTCATGTCGGTCCAGGATATTCCTGTCTTCGCGTTTCCCACTCACTGTCTGACGCATAATCCAGTCGATCACAATTAGGAATATCATTGGTCATAATGTGTATATATATATATTAGACTTCATTTTACCATTAGTGTGTGTGACTGCCTTCCACAACGGGCAATGTTAGCTGACACGGGGTCAGGCTGGAAAATAACTAGAGGCTTTCAAGCCAAAACTTGGATTCATCAGTCAATGAAACCCACAACAGTTAGTTTAAGCTAGCTACGTAAGAAGGTGTGGACTTGTTAACTGTTTAGGGTCCTCCGGACAGTAAATACCAATGAAGGCTGGAGACAATTGGTGATATGGCTGAAAATCGTTCACAGTGGCGGTCGCAGATGGATTCAGTCCTTGTGACTTGTAATTTTCAATGAAACTGTATTGCTCTTCGTTATTACTATTCTTTTTGTTTCATATCCCTGTCTAACGTCTTTATTTTGCATTTCTTCTACTTCTCTCTCTTGCTTTATTTGCTACAAGGAGGGAGTGTGGCCACTTGAACTGCTGCACATCGGTGCAAAGTTCCATGTTTAAAACAGACAGACACAGAGAGATTGTTAAAAAATTAACAGAAGTACTACCAGATATCCTTGTGTTCTGCGTTTTGAACAGTTTCATCGATCTAAGTTGACTAAAACATTTTTGATTAGGTGACTAGGTAGAAGATTAGAAAGGTTCCTTGTGTGCGAACAGTGAGGTACCATAATGGTACTATTCTTGGCCCCTTTTTAGTATTATTTGTTAAACGACCGGTTTTGTTCTGTGAGCTGATTCTCTGATTTAAACTGCAAAGCTATCACTGACCATCTAGACAACATTGCCTCAGTAAAACCTTCAACATGAAGTCAACTTGTCTCAATTTTCGCCCTCTGTCTCTGTAAATGAGGATATAATTGTATCTTGTGGCAACCACTGTTATGATTAGTTGTTAATTTACATCTTCATTGATCATTATTATTGATTTGGAATTTGAACCTATTAAGCGATTTGGTTCAAGTTTGATTACGAATTGATATCATTTGGAGAACTGTTGAAAACTAGGCTCAGTTGTTCGTTCTAGGCAGTACACACTTCCAGTGGTTTCGAACCCAAGGCCTTTCGAATAAAAGATGAGCGCGTAGAACATTCAGCCACTGGGACCAAACTCAGTGAGCAATGAATGTCATGTGATTTGTTATTAATTATTTGATAAGTTTGATCTCTGATTGTGAGCTTGTTAATCGTTGATTCAACTGCGTACGAGGCTTCTAGAAATTCCCTAGTATTTTCGGTGTTTTCTTTGTTTAAAAAATTTCTATATTCAGTCAATCAAACTGGTGTCTTTGGTTGTCTATATGCAATGATATGAAAGAACACATATCATGCCTTTTCATACTTTTCACATCCACTGCGTAGTTTGCCAGGGAGTTGTTAATTGCTCTTTGAACGAAGATGAGAGATTCCTGTAAATCTCAAAGTTTGAAATCAGAAATTAGCATGACATTTGCGGAGAGCGAGAAAGGACAAAGACATGTGAATTTTTACTCATTTATAGAGGGAAGACCAGTAGTTCGGCGAAGAGTCTCTTTTCTCCGGCGAATTCATTTTCCTAGCTGTACAATCGTAAATGTATATTAACTTTGTCATAAGAAAATATAATCAGTAAGTTTTCGGTGAAGTTACGTAATCCAAAAGGCGTTCTGATAAATTAGATGTTGATTTAAGAGGGTAGTGGCAAAAGTGATGATTCGTCACAAACGACTGTTAGAGAGGAGTTAAGTAAAAGCATGAACAGTTTGATGGAAGAGTTGTGCTCAGGGTAGAACAAAATAACATACGGAATTACGCAAGAGTTTTAAGTATTTATAAAAATAAGCATACAAGTAAAAGTTAGGTCAAATCAGCGGAGTTGCTACCATGATAATAGAAGTGGTTGAATAATTTTCTTTTGTATGCGTAGTTCTGGTTCTTCTAACTGAATATCTAGGGGTTTAGTAATGCAAAGAAGACGGAAATGTACTGTCTTTGGAAGGTTGTTCTTCACTTTGTAGATTACTCTGAAGCAGGAGGCGTTTGTTGAGATGGAATGATCAGTGTTAACGAGATGTTCGATTATTGCACTTCTTATACGGCCACTATTTCCTTTCCGCAGCCACGGTTGATAGTGTTATTTGACAGGATGCGCGTGAAACGACCTATGTACCTGGCTCCACAGCAACAGGTGAACTGATATATACACGTGGAAATGGTTAGGCGCAAGATCTTGTCCTTTGGGGTTCTACAGATCAGTGGGCGACTGCAGAACACTACTCTCACCGTTGCCGCGAAGAAATTTATTGGTAAAGAAGTGGAAATTCTCCTCTTAAGGACATCACTGAGTAGGTCACCTTTAAAGTTTAGGTTCATCTGAAGTATCTTTTGTGGCACGGATGGCGTCTCTTGCCTTTGGATTTTCTGTTTGATGATTTTGTCTACGAATCTTGGTGGATAACTGTTTTGTATGAAGATATCTTTCAGGAAGTGTAGTTTTTATTCCTTTATGGTATCAGAACTGCAGATGCAAAAAGTTTATCATTAAAAAGACATAGAGAAAATGTGCCATTTCCTTGCATTCTACAAAACCAATACGGAACCAGCAATCTGGACACTGCAGGGTTTCTTCAAGATAGTTATCACTTTAATGGCTAAGTGAATGGTTGATTAGCTCATCCATACTATCCAAGTATATTCAACGTTGAGTCTTATATATGTCCAAACCAAGTTCACTTTTAACAGTCTGGAAAAATTTAGGCATCGGGCTTATGATACTCATTATAGTGAAAAACAAAACGATATTCTTGTCGTTTTTACTGACGTTTCGCTATTCACTATTGCTGCTGCTAATAGCTTTATCAAAGTAGTATAATTAAACCAGAATTTAAAAAATCCACTCAGCTTGCATTGTTTAACAACTAAATCATCGTTCCTCAGCATGGGTTCATTTTTGCGTGATCAAGTTGCTAATGGCTGAGACAGAAAAGGAAGAAGAAATATCAGACATTACTAAAACTCTTAGGCGAAATAATTACTCAAAGAACTTCATTAACAAAATCAACACTGACATTAAATGTGGTCGGAAGCGTATTCTGAAAAGGTGGACCTCAACAGCTGATATTCCATATAGGTTAGAGACGTTAGACGATATCAGAAGAGTACTTGATAAGCTCGACATCAGAGTTTTCTACAAAACAGACTCACACACTACATGTCCGTGTGGAAGACCAAATCTCTAAGGATTCACTATCTAATTGTGTCGACAAAATAAAATACTTGGAATGTGATGCGATATACATCGGACAAACGTCGCCAGAGAGAAATCAAAATCAGAGGAAATTAACACTGTAGAGTGAGTGTCTGTTCGACCACCGAGAAATTCAGCTGAACTGAAAAAACTTGAAGAAAAATCATCAACCATAGCTTGTCTACACACTATAGAATCAGACCACAAAATTAATTTTGACAATATTGAAATCAACATCCAGAAAAAAATATTTGAGAAATCACAAAGAACGTCTAATTTCATCGGAATTACTTCATATCAAATGGAATCCAAATTGTCTGAGCTGAATAGGAATGATGGACTAAAACAGAATTTGACCTGGTTACAACACCCACCTCCCCACCACATGAAGTAAAAACGACAATAATTTCGTTTTGTTTTTCCTCCATTCACTGGGAAATACGAAAAGCCTTTATTATAATGAATATATTTGACTCTGTTCACAAAACTCCAAGATGAGGTTAAGTCTCTTCCTTTATTTGAGTGAATACTGTCGAAAAACAGGTGACTATCCAACCAAAACTAGAAATGCCCATTACTTTCTGTTTACATACATTAGATTTCCTTAAACTGCTTTTTTGATCGGTTCATATCGTTTGCTTTATTAGTGAGATCATTTTCTAGGAATAACTACTAGTGAAAATTTAGATTTTTGCAGTGAA